CCTCCCCAAGGGCAGCAATATCTTGAACTTTTCCAATGCTGTCCGCTATCCATATTATCCACCAGGTCTCCCAGCCGCGAAGACAGGGCCCTTGTGGCCACGGAGGGTTGCTAAACCTCAGGCTGCAGTGCCCCAACTCCGGACCCTGAGATATCGATCGTGTCTCCTTTTGATGCGGGGCGTACAGGGGCAACCTTGCATAACAAACAATAAACCCGCTGTTTTATAGGTATGTCATCTAGTGCCTCCGATATTCCCACAACTATCAAAAATTCGACAAGGACTGCAAGTTCTATAAATCACCAAATTCTGCCATTTGCCTTAGACAACTCTCCCTACCAGTAGATCTTTCCCCATTGATTCTTCCCCGTTGGCCTCACTGCAACTGCGACCAGGTCACATTCCCCACTGTCTGCACACCAAATTTTGGCCGTGCGGTCCGTCGAGGCAGTGGCCTCAGGATGCCGGTGCCATTGAAACCCTGCAGACACCAAAAGGGAATCCAAGGGACCGGATCGCTAAAACCGCTGTCACTGGGGCCCAAGGCCAGTAGTTGGCCATCTGGCGAGAAGCACAGCCACATCACTTGATCTTCATGGCCTCGGTGGTACGCTACACTAATGTCCAGCTTGGACAGTTTGGAAACACCTGACCTTACTAAGGTGTGTCTTCTGGTATTTTTCCGAACGTCCGTTGCAACGGATCAAGAGAAATTGAAGCCAGTGCAGTTGAGAAATAACCAGCGATTGCTGGCTGTTTGATGCTACTATTGCCGTTTGATGCTACTATTGCAGATGATGCTGCTGGTGTCATGGAGAAAAATAGTATTAATTAACCAGCTTTCACTGAAGTTGGATACACGACACGGGCCTTCAAAAAGCTGAACACGTTCACCTGCCATGAGAGCAACCAGAAATGTTCAGAGCGAACATGTTCGATTTCACTAAATGTTTTTTCAGAACATTTTTACGGATCAAATTTGTGATCCCTTCCCCAAGCCCATCTACTCTTTGGCCATTTTGCCCACTTCCACCTATACGACCTATGGATTTTTGTGGTGCTTGGTGCTTGAAGCTGCGCCTGTCTCCAAGCTCCAAAAGGCCGCAGTGGTGTCCGTGGAGGCTGTGGCAAAGACGTCCTCCGGTAACCAGACCAGTTGAAGGGAGCAGCCATCACAAAGACCGGCCTCCTGCAATCACAGTCTGAGTGGTGAGATCGGCCTGAAGAATTCAACCTGTATGTCACTGTATGTGCTGCATTTTCGCGCCCAAAATGAATTCCTACTCTTTGGCATACATTACTCATGTTTTAAGGCTGCCTTCACTTCCACCCCGGATAAACCTCCAAGGTCATGTTGCCGGACAGCACGCAGCATCCCGCCAGCAGCCGAAAACGTCGCACCATGCCCAAGGTATGGACCAACTTTTGTCGCAGGGTAACGACCCGGTCCTGGGCTGAAACCACTGAATAATGGCTGCTGCCTACCATCAGTCCTCCAGAGCATTCTACCTCCACTTTGTCTGGCCAGGTACAGTTTGGCAGAGGCTCGGAAATCAGTCCCTACCCCCTGCGAGTATTTTGGAACTGGCTGGGAACTGAGGCTAGTGGAAATGCGGTAGCTCAGTAGCTCCTACAAACCATACCATACCGATACCAAATTTTATCAATTGAGCGTCCCCATGACTGACCAAACTGTGTCAAGAAACTGTGGGGAGCGCAGTCATGCAGCAAATGTGGCCACCGTCGACAGCAGCATAGACATTCATCGTCCATCCCTCTCGCAGCAGCAAGTGGTCCATAGGCAGCACACGACAGGGCTGGCTTCGAAAAAAACTAAGGGAGCGTGTTTTGCTGAACGGGTAAAGAAAATGTAAAAGAGGGACCTTGCTGAGAACAATGGTTCCAGCTCGGTTTCCACATGTGAATTCAGATATTTGCTGAATTCGCACAAGTGATTAGTTAGGCGGCAAGAGAATGATTGGGCTCAGCGTCAGCAGCCTTTCCTGGTAGCTTTGAAATAGTGCCAGTGCTGGCAGAACTCAAAGAAATGAACATATCAGATTGCATAGGCTTTAGCATGGAGCGCGACTGTTGTTTCAGCCACTAGTGGCGTTTAAAACGACGCGTTGCTGAAGATGAGCCATCCACAACGGTCGGCGTGCAAACTTTTGCTGTGGCCATAGGCTTGATTAGGAGGTTGCCGAAACAATTGGCTCCCCAAAGTCCCATGGTTTGTGAGTAAGAAGATTGAATATGCATTTTCACATTTTGTCATATTTTTTCTCCGTGATTTGTTGCATTTTAGTATATTCACCATTTGGAGGCAAACCTCAAAAATCATTCCTGAGATCCTGGGATCCTACTCCAAGCCAATCACACCCAATGAACTCATCAAGGTGCCACTGGGTTATCCGCATTTTGGGACTCACTTTTTGTCACGAAATCAGCTCATTTGGAGACCAATCTTCAACACTGCAGGGCACAGAAGCAGCAGCGACCACCAGTGGCCACCAATTGCGCTATGTGCCCTGCCCATGTTTCACTTGGGAACCGAGAGATCGAGCTATTTGCAGAGTGAGGTGAGTTGTACAAGTTCAATGCATCTGTGACATCTTGACTCTTACAAATGCAATGGAGCCACTCTCACCGATGACGGGCCAGGCAGGCTATATAACGTCTCTTCCCCTTTCTGAAAGACGCTCTGTTGATGGGAATCTTCTCACAACGAGTAACGAAGGAACACGCAGCTGCAGTGGCATTGGCAAGCATTTCTTTAGAAGTGTTATGGACCATGACACCGTTGACACACCTCACATTCCGGTTGTTAGTTTAAGAACAGCCCTGTCTTGGGACAGATTGCTCATGGTTGCTCACCTCAACTGCTATCTTCTCTTTGCACCTTTCGCCACTAAGCTAGGGGCTGCTAAGGTGTGCGCAGCTGGGATTGAAGGAAACAGCTGGATCCAAGCAGTCATGTTGAACTGCTCCAAGTAGGTGAATCTGCACAAGATCTTGTGACTATAAAACCTGAGTGACCAAGATGTTACCTACACTTCCACGCCAGCTCGCACACAGTTACTGCCAAAAGCAGACCTTAAGAATCTTAAGAAATTTCTTGGCCTGTTGAGGGCGCCTCAAAACGATGGAGATCCCACAATTTTGAGAAAATCTCCAGCTGCCAGAGCCAGGAGAAACGCTTTTCTCCATGCCTTCAGCAAAGCTACCTACACAGCTGTGCAAAGTAGCACTGCTCATCTAGGTCAACGCTCACCTTGGCCCAAATTCATGGGAGTCAACTAGCCCCAAGATCACCATTCAAATGCATCAATACAGATCAATGCCACCGCTGAGAAGACTGTCATACCGTCATACCGTATCATCATACACATTCGCACCATTTCGCACCCGCTTTGGAGATGGGAATCATGGCAAAAGGGTGACAAAGGTACCTTAAGCGAAGGAGTATCTCGATGTATCCACCTTCAGGGAAATGCAACATCCTAATCTTCAAACCAAAGTACTAGAGTGGTAAACCAAAGTGCCCAAAACAAAAACTTGACCTTGCAAGATGTGACATAGTTTTGATGTTACAAATCAGAGCCTGAAGACTATCTTACATAAGGATTGGGTCCTCACACTGACCATTTTCATGCCATGGCCAAGCAACTTGCAGCACTCTAAGTAGCAAATGACACAGGCCTCAGTGGTGTGACTGGGTTGATAGGAACCCAGGTTGTCACGGTCATCGGATGGAGCCGTAAAAGGTGACACCGGTGACACCGATGGCTCCATGGTTGGTGATTTAATCAGCCCTCAATAAAGCACTATTGGACTGTCGGACCGTGCTGGGGTCACCCACCACAATCATGAAGATCAGGGCCAAACACTCTGCAGTGGTGCTGGTGGCGATGTATGGGTTGGAGGCAGCATCAAACTCGATCTCCTTACAGGAGGATTTTGACCAAGGCCAAATGGGCGAGTAACCGCTGGATTTGGGGTACCCAATCAGACAAAGCTGAATCACCACCTCAGTCGTCTTAGTCAACAAGCCTTAAGAGTTGACAGTAAACGCAAAGAACGCAAACAAAAGCGGACACGGGGGACTCACCTTGGTCTCCGCTACCGTCACGCCGCCCTCGCTGCCGACCTATAGCTCAAAGAAGAGTCTTCAGAATGAGTCGTCATTCTTTGGAAATGACTGATGACTGAAAGTTACTTTACACTTTCATACACTTTCCATTATCATCATGAAGAGATCCTTCGATTTCGAACCGACAAGATTGTCGCTTCATAAACAACTCGGCGCTTGGTCATCCAGCCTCCGGCTTGCCCGTCGCATCACTTTCCACTTTTGGGGCCTCAAATATTCCCACACAGACATGGAAATATTGTTGTCTGCAAAGTATTCACCTGGGGATCTGCAAGGACGTGTTACAAGTTCAAAGACAAATCCATCCAGTGCATGAAAGATATGAAAGGATATGAAAGGCAATGATCACGTGCACACACTGGAAATCCAAGCAATGCAAGCACAGCTCAACCTCTGGTCAAAACATAATTTTGCTTGAGATGTCTGGGACACCCGAACAGCAGGCAAAAACTCCTGCATGCAGACAGATCATCAAATGTTCACCTCTCCCAGCACACCTGGTTTTCTGGATGTTTTTGGGACATCATCAATATTTTCACCATTCATAATCCTGGTTCTTCAAAATGCCAAAGCCATGAGAATAAGAGTGTGGCAGAAACACACTAGACTGCATGGCAAGCTCACAGCATCAGGCCCCTCAAATCCTGGGAAGAGTCGGACTGGGCCACAAAGAGCAGCAAAGCTGTGATGAAGATGCGGAACATCTCGCAAGTTTCCTTAGTCACCAGTTACGAGTCTTACGAGTCACGAAACTTCGGAGTTGGGGGAATGGCAATAGAGTCTATAGAGCAAGGCAGCAAGTACGTTGTTAATCTATGCAAGCAGGGTCATTTCTTGTTAATCAACCTGCAGCTTTGTCTTTTCCGTTGTAAAATTTGCAATTTGCGATTGATTACAACCTGATGACTTTTTGCACATCCGAGGGCACCAAGGAGGCGGAAACATGCACAGGCTTACACCCCTGATGTGGGTCCAGGCCCAACCCAGGATCCCAGGCAGTGCAGGAGTGGCGCACGTAACAAATTAGAGCCAAAAACTGCAGAGGCGGATGCTTTCAGTTGACTTGCTTCGGGTGCGCTAAGCGGTCGACAGGAAAGCAACCACTCCACCACGCTTTCATATTTGCCGGCCATATATTTGCACAACCCACAAAGATTTTGTTTCATCAGGCTGTGCAACAACAACCATGCCTAGTTCATTAGGAACTAGGCCGAAGTCCATGGACTTTTGAAACCCAGCAATCAACACAACTGTTCACTTCCAAATGTGGAGCCGCTCCGCATTACTTTGTTGGCTCCTCCCGCTGTCTTTTGCGGTGTCGGATCTCTTTGGGTGTCACGATGACCTTGATCATCCCATCCTCAAGTGCCGGTAGCAAAAGATCTGCACCAAACCTGAAGTTGTTCCTTTCCATGGTTCGTTTCACCCTCCAGAAGGACTCACAACATCACAACATGACTCCCCGAACATGGGTTGACACCTGCTTGTAGCTTGAAACCCTGGTTCCCTGGTGAAATTCACAAACATTGAAGAAAACGACTAGGTTGAAGGAGTGAGGTTGGCCATTGAAGCACACAACCACCATAGAAAACCAATTTCCATTCTGCTAGCCACCTTCAGCCACCATCAGCCACCATCAGCACCATCACACCATCACACCATCCTGTGGCTGAGGAACAGGTGGCTGACGCACATTCTCGATGGCCTCCTGGTACTTCTCCAAGCCTTCGAAGGCGTGGGTCACGACCTAGGCTGACAAGACTTGACAGGACCGTGGTTATATCTAACATGTTTGTGGTGATTCTAGATTCACACCTATACTTGCCTGGTTCTACAAGCAAATGCATACATCTATCCGTATCCACCGATTGAGCTGCACTCTCCCTGCCCAAATCCGCGGTTGCGCCATGTTGGACCCAACTTGGGCCCATATTTGGCTGATCTTACAGTCAACGTGGGCTAATTGGATGTGGGGGGGGAAATTCCGGTCCCGGCTCATACATACATGTATATGTACATGTACATAAATATGGGCAAGGGGTTCACTTTGGCATAAACGGTGTTTTTTGTGGATCTTTTAGGGTTTCTTTAGGGTTTTTAATGGTTAATTTGGGGGTTCTTTAGGGTTTCTTGAGAGTTTCTTTAGGTTTTCTTTAGGGTTTCTTTTTCTTTGGGGTTTCTGTAATAGGGTTTATTTGGGGGGGAGGGAGGAGAATACCAGCCATTTACAGAAACAGCAATTTAGGGTTTTTTTTGGTGGGAACTTCTACTTGCATCATCATTCTTGCTTTGTTTCGAAAGTAAGAACAAACGACTCAGCCCACTCAAAGGGTTCTTACTTCTCTCTTGCCTTGGCCATCCTCATGCTCACAGCAGCCATTTAGGGTTTATTTAGGGGGAGGAGGGGGCTCAGAACTTGCCAGTTAAGGTTTATTTGGGAAGGAAACATTCTACTTACATCATCATTTCAGTTTACTTTCAAAGGTTGACGACTCATTCCACTCTTAAGGGCTCTTCCACGTCTCTTGCCTTGGACATCCTTTTGCTCAACTAGACATTGAAGGTTCCTCTGGAAGGACGAACAGATTCGTTTTCACTACATTTCACAGCAAATTCTGCCCCATCCTTCGTGCACTTCAAATCCAACCATATCAAGAGAAACCCCGTCAGGGAAATGATTCTTTCCACTAGCTATTTTGATCTATTTTGGATCTCCTTAGGAATTGGACCCCTCAGCCCGCAGCACTGAAGGAAGTTGCCAAACTTTTCCGGACAACGCCGCGGCGATCTGTTACATGCTGCCCAAGATGGTCATGTATACACTGTGTCGCATTATGGCACGGCGTAAGAAGTTAACGAATCATACCATGAAGCGCACGGGACACGCCCAGCACAGTGTTGCATCTAGATGCGAGATAAGAAGTTAACAAACCAAACTGTTGTCTTCGAGTAATCCCCAACTTGGACAACCTATCTGACATACATTGCGATCTTCTCTGTGGCATTCTATCTGACATCCCAATTGGCATTCTAACTGACATATACTATCGCATTCTGTCATACCCCATCCGCACAACATCGTCCGTGTCCGCGCGACCCCACCCCCTAGGCACCCGGTAGCAGAGTTAGATGCGCCGTATTAAGTACGAAACACGCCCAGCACAGTTACATTTAGATGCGCCGTATTAGGTCAAAAAATCAGACCATGAACTCAACGAGACACGCCCAGCACAGTTGCTTTTAGATGCGCCGTGAAAAGTTAGGGAATCACACCGTGAAGTGAACGAGACACGCCCTGCACAGCTGCATTATGGGTTCCTGGCTTTTGGGTTTATTCCCCGTAGCAAACATGGGATGCAACCCGTCCATGCCAATACCCCCAAAAATATCCACATCGAGACTCCTAGGCAAGCCCGCATCCAGAGACAGCACCGTTGAGCCCTGAGCCCTACACGGCGGAGATGTATCCACTTTACGCCCGAAGCGAACCCAAATTTACGCCCGAAGCGAACCCAAATTTACGCACGAAGCGAGCCAAAATTTACGCCCGAAGCGAACCCCTGCCCCATAAAAACATTTGCCTGTGAAAAGAATGTTCCTACTAGTAATACAAATATGACACCAGTCACAAACCATCTACAACTTGCAGCCAGCTTGGGTTCCCTGACACTGCTCAACTTCCCAGCCGCCAAGATTTCCTGGACCGCCTGCCTGGGCTATGAGTCTCCCACAGAAATCGATCATAGATTCCTTTGAAAGAAATGTTTCATTATATAGTAGGTTTTGGAGGTCTCTAAATGTTGGATTCCCAATCTCAACTCAACAGAAAACCCTGTTCTTGTCAACGCCCAAGCTGCCAATCTTCCGGCTCTGACGACAATGAACCCCTCAACGTCAGCTGCCGGAGGACAACCTTGGTTGATAGTTGATTCAGTTGATAGGGATTTCCATCATCCACCTATCCATGTCATTACAATACTTTCCTCATATTGCAACCCCCAAAAGATAGAAAAGTAAAATCCTGCTAGAAAAACATATGTATCATGTGTATTTTTGAAAGAATGCAAATCCTTCCGGCTAAAAATAATCATAAATTAAAATCATGAGCGTTCTATCTTTTTACGGGTTACGAAACTATTCAATGTCAATACCCCCCAAACAATCAAATCCAATACACAATGGTGTTGGGGGCTGTATATCATGTGGGTGGAAGGATTGCAGAGGGGTTGCAGTTGCTAGGATCAGCCCCAGGCACGTCATCGGTGCAGAGTTCCGCGAGTTTGTTGCCGGACAGCCTCAGAATGTTTGTGCCGGAATACAGGGATACAAAATACACATGTGGTGCCCTTCCAAATACACCTGACCCAATCGATCTTCTCCCTGTGATTCCTGACTGAGCAGTTCCTAAAGACCAGCTGTCCATTCTGCAGTTTGAAGCCACTAAAAATCTACAAGACATTTTTTTGCTACGCCAGTGGGGTTGAAAAAACCCTGAACCAACAGGGTTTATGGCTCTCAGCCAAAAGGAATTCAGCTTCGGCATCCACGTGACCCCAGCAGGATCACAGTGCCCCCTGGCGCCACCAGCGACACCGCCAGCTTCACCGCCTCGGGGGTGCCTGCTGCCTCCAGCACCAGCGACGGCGGAGCATCTGCCAGCGCTGCATGGAGATCCGAGGGCGACTCACGGACGTTCCAGGCCTGCCGAGGTGGCTATGGATGGCCACGGATGGCCACGGATGGCCACGGATGGCCACGGATGGCCACGGATGGCCGATTCGTATCATCTTGGGCCGCAGGTTCTTTACATTTCTTTGGGCCAAGATTGAAACAGTTTGGGGCCCCAAAGCATTCAAGCGGAATCTGACATGGCAGTAGCTGGGCACGGCATCATGAACTGCCGGAGGAAGCACTTCCAGCCCCCGTAGCGAAATCCATCCCTCCCCGCCAGCTCTGCTCCAAGTGCTTCGGCTTGCTTCAACCTGGTGGGCTGCGCACCCACCAAGCACACCCGAGGCACTCTTTCGCGCACTCGGAGCACTTGCAGCAGCAACAAACCTGCGCAACACCAAGCACTTTGGCAAAGGCACACCAGGAAGGGGGACACAGACACGATTCGGCCATGTGACATCTAATTCCTCAAAGCCTCAAACAAACAACTATATATATATAGATAAACTACTTATTTCCACGGTGAAGAGTCGACTTTTGCTGGGTTCATCTTTGGATGAGCCTGTGTCACACACCTGTTTGCATTGATAACTTTCCCAGGATCTGAGCTGCTGAGAGCCTACAGCGCCATCGCCCACAACGACCACCCAGGGCTGGATGCCGTTCTTTGGCTCCGGGTTTTTGTTGAGGTTGGCCTTGTGAGCCATGGGGAGAACATGACTTGCAGAGGTAGATAGATCAAAATCGAAAAAATGGATAGCCTACATAATGGTATAATATGTGTAATGGTTTATCTGAGAGTGTGTGTTCCCTTCTGTAGATTAACATCATGAGGAATTTCCACGCAAGCCAATGATGCCATAAAATGCACCATGAGTAGAGTAAAATGTCTCATACCTATAGCCTATAGCTTATAGTAGCAAAAGCAAACGAATTATTTTCGACAATGTCAATGAGGATCAAATACAGCTCATCTTGAGGTCATACATATGACCCACAGACATAGAAAAATCACAAGCACTTCGGCCATGCCACAAGGCGCACTGCTTTGCAGGCAGTTGCCAAAGGCTCTGCAAGTACAGCTAGTTCCCATGGGGTGCCAGGTGGCAGCACATGCAGTTGCCAGGCGGGGAAACGCATCACCTCGGTACCCCCCAAGTCAAACGAGGCACTGCGAATGACCGAAGCAAACACAGTGTGCCAAGCCCAGGGACTGTTTGGAAAGCACCTTCTCGGCCAAAGAAGCCCGTCTCCTTCGGCCGCTAGCTACGGCTGCTACAGGATGACCAAATTGCACAAGATCTGAAGCCAATCTCTCTGCCGTTGGCATTTCAAACGTTGCAGCCGCCGGTCCTTTCGTTGAGGACAACGTAGCAAACCACCAGGCTGGCAACAAATCTTGCACCTGGGTGCGTTTTGCCGTTGACCGTATCGTTTCTTGCATCTTCTTGCACTCCACCATTCCTCTGCACCTACATGCTCCAACATGCCTTAGGTCGGCTTCATATGTTGTGTATTCCTGGTTCCAGCACAAAGGAACCTACACGTTGTTCAACATCAGGGCACAAATTTTACCTTCGGCTGAATGGGGGCTAGGTATGGCTAGGTCCCCCTTCTGTGATTGCGTGTTGTACATGTGGTATAGTAATCCAAATCCAGCCAAACCGCCTGGTGGTCTGAGTTTCAGCTGAAGTCTGAGGATAGCATCCTGAAAGAGTAATCTCCAAACTTGAATGACAGCATGGTGCAACTTGAAAGAGCCACCACCGACAAGAAATTGCAATGCTGTCCTTGCAAATTTACATAATCGGAATACACCAAAATCCCTTCAAGTTGAGAGAAACATTGAATATCATCGCAACAAAAATAGGAATATTTGGAACATGGATTGGAAGACATGTGTCTGTATTGTCTGTCTCTTTAACTCAACACTTTCACTGACCATCCACTCCATTCAACTCCTGTGCAATGTTCTCCAATTACACGCTGGCCCACATGCAAATGCGATGGCGCCGCGGGGCCCAACTTCAGGATCTCACCTAAATGCTAGCGACGGAGGGATCTGAACATATCACGAATGGAAATGGATATCTATCGGATAACTATCAGATAAAGGATGGTAACGGATGGTAACGGATGGTAACGGATGGTAACGGATGGTAACGGGTAACATATGTGTTTATTCAGGCCTGGCCAAACGATTGTTCCATCCTCTAAGTCCCTCAAAACTTTGGGCATTCAGCATCTTCTGGCATGGATCGCTTGCAAACCTTGTATATTGAAAAGACCAGGAAACAATGATTTGTTGCAATGGCATGAAAACGCATGTTGCAGAACCTACACCTTATCCGACAAAAACCTAAAGATATCTAAAATAATTAAAGATAAACATGTTCAAAGGACTCCAATATTTTTTTTCGTTCGGCCAAAGCACCGGCCCATTCGTGACCTGGCACCAATGGGACGGTGGAAAGTCCGCTGTGGTAGTAACCCATGGTTCCATCAAAGAGTTCCACATCCTCACGGCCAAGAATCCGGCATGGAAAAAATATCACGGATTCCTCTGAATTTGAAATTGAACATCTAACATCAGGGAATATCATCAAATGATCATGATACTGGTAAGTATATACTGGTAGATGGATTAGTAAATGGCAAAATTGCCACCAAGTTGCCGTGGCGCAAACCCCCACAGCTTTCACGGCCACCAAAGCCTCTCCAAAACCCAAGGTCTTCACTGGTTGTCGCCGCAGTTCCTTGGTGATGGGTGTTGAATGATGACAATACAGAAAAATGCAATTATCCAAATTAAACAATATTATTGCATATTATGACCATTTTTTTTTTTCATTGTTTTGACGACTATAGTGCACGACTGGAACTTAGAATGACCTCCAGGTTTCCAAAACTTTTATCATAGACACTTAGAATGACTCGGTTTCGTGGGCATGCTAAGTGTTTGAAACCTGCAAAAATACACATAATTTGAAATTCTAGATTTTACTGTTTTTTATGACATTTTCCCAAAAAACAACTATCGAAACCCAAAATTGATGACCCTTCCAGATTATTCTCACTTTTTTGTTCATCCACTTACTACCCTTTCGAGGGTCATGCTAAGTGTATGAAACCTGCAAAAACACACATAAATTGACTTGCAACACTTTTGCAGCCCCAAAAAAGTGGTTCCAACTGTCTCTACAAGATATATTTATGGGAACTGGTTATATGCTTGTAACGCTGAAAGTGCTGACCCTTTAGCTGCTAAATATTTGCATATATTTGCTAAATAGGCGCTGAATAGTTGCAGAGTAGTTGCTGAATAACTGCTAAATAGTTTCGAAATAGATGCTAAATTGTTTCTAAATAGTTGCTGAATAATAGCTGAATAGCTGCTAGGTAGCCACTAAACAGCTGCCAAATGGTTACTACATAGCTGCTAAATAGCTGCTAAATGGTTGCTAAGTAGATGATAAGTAGAGGCTAAATAGCTGTTAAATAGCTGCTAAATAGCTGCTAAATAGATGCTAAATAGCTTCTAAATAGCTGCTGAATAGCTGCTAAGTAGCAGCTAAATAGTTGCTCAATAGCTGCTAAATAGCTGTTGAACAGCTGCTAAATCTCTATTCAATAGCTGCTAAATAGCTGCCAAATATTTGCTAAATATTTGCTGAATAGTTGCTCAATAGTTGCAGAATAGTTGCTAAATAGCTGCTGAATAGCTGCTGAATCAGTGCTAAATAGCTGCTAAATAGTTTCTACATAGCTGCCACATTGTGACTAAGTAGCTACGCAATAGCTGCTAAATATTTCCTAAATAGCTGCCAAATGCCTTCTAAATAGTTCCTAACTAGCTGTCAAATTGTTATTAAGTAGTTGCACAACAGCTGCTCCATAGCTGCTAAAAAACATTTAAATAGCTGCTAAATACGTGCTAAGTAGCTGCTAAATATTTTCTAAATAGCTTGTAAATAGTTGCTAAACAGTTGCTGAATACATGCTAAATAACTGCCAAATAGAAACCAAATAATGATTAAATAGATTTGAATAGCTCCTAAATAGCTACTAATAGCTGCCAAATAGTCACTAAATAGCTGCTAAATAGCATTTGAACAGCTGCTAAAGAGCTGCTGAATAGCTGCTAAATAGCTGCTAAAGAGTTGTAAATAACTGCTAAATAGCGTGCACATAGCTGCTAAATAGTTTCTAAATAGCTGCTCAATAGTGACTAAATAGCTGCTAAATAGCTGTTAAATAGCTGCTAAACAGCTGCTGAGTAGTTGCTAAATAGCTCTTAAATAGCTGCTAAATAGTTGTTGCATAGTTGCTAAATAGCTGCTAAAAAGCTGTCAAATAGCTGCTAAATCTCTGAAATATTTGCTGAATAACTGCTAACTCCTTTCTAAATAGCTGCTAAATAGTTACAAAATTGCTGCTAAATAGCTACTAAATATTTTCTAAATAGATGCCAAGTCTAAATAGCTGCTCAAGAGCTGCTAAATAGAACAAGGAGGTAAACCACATTCTAAGTGTTGAAAACCTTCTAAATATCAGTAAATTCAAAAAAACACCGGGTGCCTGATCTTTTGATTATGTTTTTGCATCATTCTAAGTGTCAAACCGTTCGCACATAGCGTGGTGGGAAGATGATTTCAAAAGTGTAAGGTGCCCAAAACGCGAGTTTTGGCTTATCCGGTGGTGCGGCGGCTTCCAAAACTATATTCTACGTTCCTAAATAGCTGCCAAATACGTTCTAAATAGCTGCTAACTAGCTGTCAAATTGTTATTAAGTAGTTGCACAATAGTTGCTCCATAGCTGCTAAATAGCTGCTACATAGCTGCAAAATTCCTATTAAATAGGTTCGCAATAGCTGGTAAAAAAGTTTAAATGGCTGCTAAATACGTGCCAAGTAGCCGCTAAATATTTTCTAAATAGCTGGTACATAGTTACTGAACAGTTGCTGAATACATGCCAAATAGCTGCCAAATAGAAATCAAATAATGATTAAATAGATTTGAATAGCTCCTAAATAGCTACTAATGGCTGCCAAATAGTCACTAAATAGCTGCTGAATAGCTGTTGAACAGCAGCTAAATAGCTGCTGAATAGCTGCTAAATAGCTGCTAAAGAGTTGTAAGTAACTGCTAAATAGCTGCTAAATAGTTTTCAAATAGCTGCTCAATAGTTAGTAAATAGTTGCTGAATAGCTGTTAAATAGCTGCTAAATAGCTGCTAAATAGCTGCCAAATAGTTGCTAAATAGCTGCTAAATAGCTGTTAAATAGCTGATAAATAGCTGCTAAACAGCTGCCAAAAATCTATTCAATAGCTGCTAAATAAGTGAAAAATAGCTGCTGCATAGTTGCTAAACAGATTCTAAATAGCTGCTAAAAAGCTATTAAATAGATGCTAAATAGGTGAAAAATGGCTGCTGAATAACTGCTAACTCCTTTCTAAATAGCTGCTAAATAGTTACAAAATTGCTGCTAAATAGCTACTAAATATGTTTTAAATAGATGCAAAATAGTTACTAAATAGCTGCTAAACAGCTGCTGAATCAATGCTAAATAGCTTCTAAATAGCTGCTCAAGAGCTGCTAAATAGAACAAGGAGGTAAACCACATTCTAAGTGTTGAAAACCTTCTAAATATCAATAAATTCAAAAAAACACCGGGTGCCTGATTTTTTTTGCTTATGTTTTTGCATCATTCTAAGTGTCAAACCGTTCGCACATAGCGTGGTGGGAAGATGATTTCAAAAGTGTAAGGTGCCCAAAACGCGAGTTTTGGCTTATCCGGTGGTGCGGCGGCTTCCAAAACTATATTCTAAGTTCCTAAATAGCTGCCAAATACTTTCTAAATAGCTGCTAACTACTAGCTGTCAAGTTGTTATTAAGTAGTTGCACAATAGTTGCTCCATAGCTGCTAAATACGTGCCAAGTCGCCGCTAAATATGTTCTAAATAGCTGGTAAAAAACTGCTGAACAGTTGCTGAATACATGCCAAATAGCTGCCAAATAGAAATCAAATAATGATTAAATAGATTTGAATAGCTCCTAAATAGCTACTAATGGCTGCCAAATAGTCACTAAATAGCTGCTGAATAGCTGTTGAACAGCCGCTAAATAGCTGCTGAATAGCTGCTAAAGAGTTGTAAATAATTGCTAAATAGCTGCCAAATAGCTGCTAAATAGTTTCTAAATAGCTGCTCAATAGTTACTAAATAGTTGCTGAATAGCTGTTAAATAGCTGCTAAAAAACTGCTAAATAGTTGCCAAATAGTTGCTAAATAGCTGCTAAATAGCTGCTAAATAGTTGCTGAAAAGTTTCTAATAGCTGCTAAATAGCTTCTAAATAGATGCTGAATAGTTGCTAAATAGCTGCTAAACAGCTGCTAAACAGCTGCCAGAAAACTATTCAATAGCTGCTACATAGCTGAAAAATAGCTGCTGAATAACTGCTAACTCCTTTCTAAATAGGATATTCACAAAATAGCTGCTAAATAGCTAGTAAGTATTTGCTAAATAGATGCCAAATAGTTACTAAATTGCTGCTAAATAGCTGCTGAATAAATAACTGCTAAATAGCTGCGCAAGAGTTGCTAAATAGAACAAGGAGGTAAACCACATTCTAAGTGTTGAAAACCTTCTAAATATCAGTAAATTAAAAAAAATGACCGGTGCAGAATTTTTTGGTGATGTTTTTGCATCATTCTAAGTGTCAAACCGTTCGCACATAGCGTGGTGGGATGATGATCTCAAAAGTAGAAGGTGCCCAAAACGCGAGTTTTGGCTTCTCCGGTGGGGCGGCGGTTTCCAAAACCACATTCTAAGTTTCAGTTGTGTACTATAGAATTGCCCAAACACAAAACATGAGAAATTCGAGTTTCCGCAATTTAATGTCGCATGTTTGCAATTTTTGTTCGTGTGCAAATTGAAAACATGAAACAATTTACTGGCATCTGTGCACGACATTTTTTCCGACTAACACATAGTAAAATGATTTCATAGTTTCGAAATTGTTCCAAGACTCGACCAGTTTGGGTCCTGGAATGGTGACCACATCTGTCTCCAAGACCATCTGTGATGCGCAATCAACATTAACATTCTGAAATTTTTCCTTGAGTCAAAAGCGCCTCAACGATCACTGAATCACATGTGCCTGTTGCACAATGGACTGACATGTATGTGACAACTGAATATACGCTATTGGAACTGGAATACAAACAGAGTAAATTTGTTTCACCCCGCCTCGGCACAAACTTCAGTTGAAGTGCCGACGTCACAAAACCAAATTGGAAAAGTTTTGTACTGAGCTAAGTGCCGCTGGGGTCCTATCCTTTGGGATGCCACTACTTGCAACACTCCTTTGGAGTTTCAGCTCAGCACAACCTATGAAACACTCTAATTTCCTCTAGGTAAATTCCCAGCGCCAACGGAGACTCACATTACCCTCCGGCTAAGGCGCAAAGCATCAGCTCGATTGCAGCGCTCATGGCTGCCAATGAACTCCATTGCAGTTGGAATTTCTTGGAAATCTCTATGTTTCTTCGTCATGCTCCAAAGTCTCGGACTCATTGTCCTCCTCATGTTGTAAAAGCAGCCAAAGGTCTGGGTCACTGACCTCTGACTGAGTGCTTTGACGATACCTTGCACGCACTTCTGATCCTGTTTCTTCGATTGAACTCACATCTGAAGGCAAACCGGCAGCATCGTAGTCCAAGTTGCGGATCAAGGAGTTTGCTACCATGTCCACGTTCGTACTGAATCCACTTGCACTGCTGCTAGGTTGGCCAGCTTGAAGAGATGCAATGAAATTCATTGCACGCTGAGCATCGCCAAAGTTGACCACTGGAGCATTGATGCTTGCAAAGTTTGGTGAATTTTCATCATCGCTAATGTCTGGCATAGTGGCCAAACTCTGAAGCGCTGCCCTTCTCCATCGTGCATCATCAGATCTCATTGCACTTTGAAGTCCATGAAGAATGGTGATTCTTTCGTTGTAAATGTAAAGAATCCTGCGAGCACCATTGTCTGCTGACAACCTTCTCCTTTCGCAACGCTCGATCAGCCATGCAACATAGTCTTCTGCATTTGGTTCTCGCCTCTGAAGTTCTTGGGGTTCAGCTTCAGCAGCCACACTCATTTCAACGTCCTCATCATGAACTTGTGGGTTGTGTGCCAACATGGCATCTGGCTCGGCATCGGGCTCAAACTGGTTGTCATTGTTGTGGCGGTTGCCACTGCAGAACCACCAAACCAGCAAAATTGCCAAACCACAAATGGCTGTGAAAAACACCATAGCCCATGAAGGTTGAGCATCTGGATCAAATTCTCCATCACAACCCTTTTGAAACAAGCTCAAGGCGCTCAGCATGGCCAACATGTTGGCCTTCTTAGTCATGATGCCGCCAGGGTCGTTGGCACCTTCAACCTCGGCTGTTGTAAGGTTATACATACCAAGCAAACACATGAGGCTTCGAAGACGGGCACAAGGGAGACGTTTCGTCCCAATGTCAGCTGGGTTGCAAGAGCCTGCCACTGTAGACAGTTTGATCTGACCTGAGTTGATGTACTCCTGCAACCATAAGACTCTGCAAGACACATGTCTAACGCGCCCTACTCCCTGTCTTTGAAGTATGCCACGGGCTCCAGAGCTGTCTGTCAGCAGGTAGATTTTGACCCTGCTGTTTGTCATCCAAGAGATGATACCTGCCAGTAGCAATCCATCTGAAGCGCCTGAACTGCATGCATAAACTTCAGCTTCTGCACTGCTGAGAGAAACCAGTTTCTGTGTACGGCTTGAGGAGTACAGCAAACAGTTTCCCAAGAAGATATGTTGAGCATGAGATTGAACACCTGGTTTCTTTGTTGCTTGCCCAATCGCTGTCAGTGAAAATTTCCATGGCATACTCTGCAGCGGAACCATATTGATGGAACAACCCACTGTTTCTGCCGCGCCAACGCAAGGAGACACAAATATCTTCATGGCAAGCAAGGTATGATACCAGGTGGCGCAAGATGGTCATACTGCAAGTTGTAGGCTGAGTGCTGTACGTTGAAAGATGACGTACAACGTGTTGGCAGTGAGGCAAATCTGAGGCCAAATACAAAAGGATTCCAACGCACGTACGGAAAACTCGAGCTTGGTCTGGGCTGACTTCACCTGACGTGTCCAGCTGATCCATTTCTGCATGACCTGGAGTGCGCTTGTTCTGTAAGCGCTTGTTCAAACCCAAAAGACTGCACATCTGGTCAACGTGCTTGTGGTGCTTTTGGATTGTAATCCTTGAATCGGGCTGTAACACCATTTTCCTTTTGAGAAAGCTCACTTCATCTCCAGGCTTTTCCATCAGCTGCGTTGAAACCTCATATTTGTTTTGAAGGCAACTCAGAAATTTGTTCATCACAAAGTCACGTTTGCCAATCGCCAGAATGTCATCCACATGGATCAACGCAAAACAGCATCCATCCTGTGACTTCAGGATGCAAGGATATGGCTCATGCACTGACATGCCAAGTTCTTCCTTCATGACCTTGGTGATGTCCTGATGCCACAAACGGCTTCCGTCACGTTGCCCTGGTAACACCTTTCCCAGTCCATAGTCAGCGCGTTCACCATTGGCCATTTGACACTGAACCACTGTAGGACATTGTTGCTTCACAGTCAGAAAGGCGTCCTTGACATCTATTCCAAGCATGACAGCGTCACAGTGCTGTTGCATTTCCAAAAACATCACTGGAAGCAACCTGGCCACTATTGAGCTACTTGCTGGGGAGAAAAGGCAATCTCTTTCACTTTCCATCCATGCAAACTCACGTGCAACAAAACGTGACCTTCTGAGCCATATCTGCTGCCCATCCTTGTCAAGCTTCTCACGCCACGTTCTCACAAAACGCGTTGACAAATCTCTTGCACCATGGGGCATATCTGCTGCATTAGTGAGCACCTGCATGCCTGTCAGCCGCTTGATTTCGACACTGTCTGCAATTGCATCCAAACGTCTCAACTCGTCTTCAGCAACCTCTGGTTCAAACTTGCTGTAAGGAAAAATGAGTTGCTTGGACATGTCGTCATCCAGAACTTCGTCAGTGTCATAGAAATCATCTTGATGAAAATTCAAATCATACTCTTCCAACTAATCCATTTCATCTGCATGAAAAGAAAATTTCACCGGCTGATCCTCGTGCTCATACAAACTGAGATCTGTGCTGGTCACCTGTTGCAAACGCTTTTTGTCATCATCATCACCAGAGAGGCGTTTTGGGTGCCTGTTCACCAACTGCTGTATCGTCAAGCAAAAACGCTTCTTCCAGTGCTTTGAAACCTGCATCAGCAAACCTGGCACGCTTTGGAGACTCTGTACCAGGGTCCTCTTCAGTTCTTTTCTGGCCATGCTCAACAGGGGTGCCAGAAACATCCATCATAGGCGTTGTTGGTGCAGCTTCTCCAAGGGGCTCTTCTGCTGGTTGCCCCGCCTCAGCTTCATGTTCAACATCCTCATCTGGATGCTCAAGTGCATATTTGGCCACATTGATGGCTTCCAAATCAAGCTGTGGTGGAAGCGCAGCACCAACACCAAACGCAACTGGTTGGCTGACTCTTTTGTTGTGAATCAACCGGCTCCCCAAAGCTGCCAAAACAAATTCCCAGGGATAGTGCTCGATGTCTGCAAAGCGGTTGAGGTTGAAGGGAACAGGGTTTCTGCGTATGCTTCTGGTGAGAAAAATCCCTTGGCTTGTACCCACAATGTGCATGTCTCCTGAGGCCACCTTTCCTAACCAGATTCCATGTTGCCAACGTGGGCCTGCTTTGTCGAGCCTCAAGTAACCAAGGATGTCCTCACCATACATCGCTACCTTTCCACTGTAGCATCTGTCGTTTGCTCTTTCATATGCAGTTTGCCCACCACTCACAACAAAACGGTTGTGAAGCCATGCTGCATGGATGATGGCCCATGCAAAGATTGGGTGCAGACATCCAAAGATGACCTTGCCGGCAGCCACTCGATCTTCAATCTGTTGCACCAAGAGTCCAGCCTTTGCACGCAAGATTTGAACTGTAACCTCTGCTGCATCATTTGCTTGATGATCAGACACGGGCACTGCTTCATCATGCACAACAATGCCAAGAGTTCTGCATGCCTTTTGAACTGACTCTGACAAGGCTAAAATGGAAGGCTCCCTGTCAGTTTTGATGGCTATTTCACGGTGCTTGGTCAACACCACAAAGCGCACAACCTCTGTAGTGAGGTATTGGAGGTACTTGCCACCTTTCTGAGGAGTTGGGATACCTGCCATCATCTTTGTTGCCCTGTCATGCACAAAAAGACACGTAAGCTTGTCTGCCTCATCTTCTTCTCGACTGCAAAAAGCAAAATCCATTGACAGCACTGAATGCCCTGAAGATTCATGGGTGCTTGGTCTATGTGGGTCTTGTTTTGCACGGTATTGCACGCAAAGTGGACACCAAGCTCTGAACGGCTCGTGAGTGAGCCCATGATTTTCCACCTCCTGCTGTGAAGGCTCTTCTGGCTTTGACTGCGCAACTGGGGCACGTTCAAGTTCATTGCACATTTTGATTTCTGCTCCATGTGCTGCAAGCAACGTTTGGGCCCTGACATGCTCGACCATGCGCTTCAAGCATTTGCTCTTGCCACCTCTGCCAGAAAGTCCAAGTGAACTGCAACCTGCCCTCAAAACTTTCAACGTGCAGTTTGTTGACATCAAAATGCCATCGACCATCACTGTTTCTGAATCCTCTGAAAATGGCACAACACGATCCTCCTCTAAAGGTTCTGCATCATCCATGTTGGCAGGAGCCTCATCTGGCACAGCGTCGGAGCAATGCTTGCAGAGTAGCCACCATTACTGTGCACATCTGCCTGAGCAGCATCAAGACTTGCAGTTGAACGGTCGTACATGAAAAATCCCAAGTGCTCATCTTGCATTGCATACTTATGTGCCAGTGTAATCACCTCCACAACGCTTTCAGGATGGAAAAACTCCTCCTCCAAGTTGTGCCGCATGTCAGCTATTGGTTCACAAAATTCATCAACCTCTTAACCATTGCCATCTCTGAAAACCAAAGTGCTTCTCAACCACATGAGCTCATCACTGGGGCACAACGTTGTA